TGTACTGGATGTTGTGAATGGTTTGGTCGTGCTAGATGTTGTGGATGGTCTGGTTGTGCTTGATGTTGTGGATGGTTTGGTTGTACTTGATGTTGTGGATGGTTTGGTTGTACTTGATGTTGTGGATGGTCTGGTTGTGCTTGATGTTGTGGATGGTTTGGTCGTGCTAGATGTTGTGGATGGTCTGGTTGTGCTTGATGTTGTGGATGGTTTGGTTGTGCTTGATGTTGTGGATGGTCTGGTTGTACTGGATGTTGTGAATGGTTTGGTCGTGCTAGATGTTGTGGATGGTCTGGTTGTGCTTGATGTTGTGGATGGTCTGGTTGTACTTGATGTTGTCGGCAGTATGGTTGTACTGGATGTTGTCGATGGTCTGGTTGTGATCGAGGTTGTGGATGGTTTGGTTGTGCTCGATGTTGTAGATGGACTGGTTGTGCTTGATGTTGTGGATGATTTGGTTGTGCTTGATGTTGTCGGCACTATGGTTGTACTGGATGTTGTCGATGGTCTGGTTGTGATCGATGTCGTTGATGGTCTGGTTGTACTCGATGTCGTCGGCGATCTGTATGTTGCTGAAGCAGTTGTCAGAGTGGCTATTGGAGCTTGGTGTTAAAAACAAAGCAGTATAATGATTTAATTGCCTGCATGAAAGAAATCTTTCTTCGAATGTAGATCAATTAGCCAATATGTTTCAAAGATCATAATCCATTTTCAGACGCTCAAAAATTCTTAGCTAGTCAATCACAATTGGATCATACGGAGTAGGATTTACGAACCCAGTTATAAAACATACTCGGTTCATATCAATTTGAACAAGTAAACAAACACTGATACTTGTAAGTTTTCTGACATTCAAAGTTAACAAAGCGATAAGATCTTTTTCTGGGGCGTATGAAGACAATAAGTTCTGTTCAATGTTAGATGCTGTTTTCTCTGTACTATTCCTAAAAAAACTCTTTCAAGTGTTGCTAAATGAAACGAAAAAAAAACAAATTGTAATAATGATGTTCTCAAAGGTCGTGTCGTCAGATTTTAAGCTAGATTCTGAAGCAAAGAGCAAAATCGGGCGTTGCCATTACTTTCGGGAACAGCGCTCAAATTTTGTTTAAGTTCTATAAGTCCTTTGAACCATTAAGCTTTTTTCTCTGAATATGGCTCGTCTCTGATAGGGAAGACATTCATAGCAATTGAAGCATGAAATTTATGAAAAATATAGCGTATCAAAAAACGGACCAAAATGCAAGTAGCTCGCTACGTTTCAGTGGCAAGCCAACTATATTCAAGAGAATGGAAAGAAATTTGTTTATGCGTAGTAAGCAAATTATCTCTATTGAAGTCATAAAACATGCAAGCAGATATCAAATGTTTCGATAAGTGTTTGCGATTAACATTGTCAGAGTTTGTCGTTTTTACTGTATTTCTCATACAAAAATTTCTATTCAAATGAATCATCCTAGTTTTGATTCTGTAACAGTATATTATACTGGGAATTCTATTTATATGTCTATACTATTTAATATTCTACAACAAACGCAACAAAATCACATTATACTAGGATGATTTCACCGTTTTATAAGCACTGAACTATGAAAAACTTACTAGTAGTGGTATTTGAAATCCTTGTCGTTAATGGAGGACATCGTCGAGAAGAAGCGCGCTCAATCGGATAACAAACGGGAACGTTGCATCGAGTATTATTGACACACACGGTGTTGGGTACCGAACACGATTTATTATCAATTCCACACAAAGTCAAATTATTGCATGATACGACCGTATCAGCACACATTCCACTTGCAGTCATTGTCATAAATAAACATGCACAATCAGCATTGCTTGAGCATGACACTGATTTAGCTTCATACTCCTTTGATGCACAGCATCCACAACCAGGAGATTCAGAGTTCATCGACTCTTGGCCTAAAACGAGTTGTATAGTAACCAAAGTTCGATAAAGTCATGGAATATGATCATCAGAGGAAAGAAGAATCCCGCCCGAAGAGTTTAAAATTTTGGCCTCTCCTACCACCGCCAGATCCCCTTCCCCCCCTCCCCCGAAACAAATGTCACGAAAAAGCTCGAATACTTCGAGGTATATTTCTCGACTTTAACTCTCTAAGATGAAGGTTCTTATGAATATCCTGATTTATGATCGTACAGACGTGCCTGATCATTTAAGACCATTATGACCATGAACTTTGAACAGTAAGAGTTTACACAGATGAAGT